GACATTCACATATGACTTCAGGTGTACTTTCAAATTTAAACTGTTCCTAAAAATGTCCTTTTCTACTTCCGAATTGCGCTCTATAATAGCACCTGCAGGGTAGATTTAATTCAGAACTGAAAACAGAATAAAAATATATCCTTATTATAATTGAATATATTTCTTCGCTGTTAAAATTGTTGTTGTTCCTGTAGTATTCACTGTTGGTGAAGAATTACTATTATAACAATATTTTTCAATGTGCTCAACGCGATAAGATCACCTGATGATTATCATCTAATATAATATTATTTAATTTACTTTGGCGACTTTATTGGAGAATCGAAAGGGCAGCAGCTGCTTGACCGTGCCGAACTTAACAAGACAACTGTGCTAAAAATGAGTCGGTTATCACTAAAACTAATGGTGGGGATCAACGAAGAATCATCGTGGTGGACCTCGACAATGGGAAATATAAAGGGGAAGGGGAGAGAAATTATTTAATGTTAATAAGGAGGTAAAGGAGGTACACACATTGCTATGTGTCCAACCTGATAGTTATGGACCCCTGGCAACCTTGTCCCAGTGCCATACGCATTCATCCGTATCTTTTTCTGCTCTTTTTTTTCTTCCCTCCACAATCAGTCCCTCACATTTTGTCTTCTGTAGGAGTGAAAGATATGACTAAGACCGCCCAACAAATTTATTCGCCAGTACTTCTTCATTTGAGATCTTTCCTTTATGTTTCTTGAATAGAAAATAGGAGAGGAAATCACCCTGTAAGGTCTTGCTAAGAAAGATACTATTAGATGATCACATGATGTATCATATATCATAATAATCTTAAGGACATATACTAAAGAAAAATCATTTTGAAGAAAACCCTTTTTTCGATTTTTCATAATTTAACAAAGCACGTTCCAATGAATGAATTGGGCAATTTTCATCCTTTTTTCATTGTCCATTGTTTAAACTGGTAAATTTACCGTCGATTTTTGAAAAGTTTGATTTTTTTCATATTTTATTCGCATGTTCATCTATTTATTTATTTATTTATTTATTTATTTATTTTCTTATGCCTAAACCAGCTTTTTTGGACAAGGTCAATTTAATATATTAAATGACGAATGGATATCATCGATTGGTATTTAGGCCTCTTCCAGTTAATATTCTTGCGCAATCGAATTGTCTCCTATACAGAAGAAAACGGCACTCGGTGTAGAATGAATAAAATTTTATCTCGCTGTTGTGGTTCCGCGCTGACATTGAAAGTATTCTTTTGCATTCATTACACGTTTGATTTTGTACTCCTTGTACAATGGGAATAGGCACAAACTGATTAATTCCATATCACGTAGAGTACTTTTTCAGAGGCGAATAAGTGGTAAATAGGAGGCGATTCGAACTACGTTTGATTACGTGATCAACACATCCATCCGTATGATGAAATACCGGAATTTTCTGATATTCAAGGTCTAATTTCATGAATCAGTTGAATTATTACAGATATCATTTCTCTTTGAACTTCTCTTTTTGAAAAAAGCACGTGTTCTGATTGAAAATTTCAGCCGTCAATCCAACACAAATTTCAATCCGGAAATTTTCTTGGATTTTTCATCGATCGAGTTGTTATTACGGTGTCTCAATATAAGGATGAAGCCCATCTGTTTTGACCTATTTGCCACTCTTCAGCCATGTAACATATACGCAAATAACCCAATAAATCTCATTATAGAGATACAAAGACGACGAATCCTTGACCTCAGGAGTTGGATATCTTCGCTGTTCGTCAGACTAAAAATATATCCTCTTTCATAATAAATGACATTTATTGAAAATGGGTCAATCGAATTCAGTAGAATTTTATGAAAAATTCAAAAATTGATTTATTTATTAATTAAAGTGGAATACAATAAAGTGAATTACAAAATCGATCAATATACTCAATTAAAGTAGAAAATATTAGCGATTTAAATATATTACTTCTCCGTGAGTGATTCAAGAAAAGCAATTCTCTGTTATTAACCAAAGTTCACCATCACAAATGAGAATCTGTGAGGAAAGGTCGCTTTCCCAAGTAAATTCCTCTCAACCACCAAACAATCGATAAGCTAAAACGAATAAGGAATGATCTTTGAATCGAGTTTACATCATGCAATGAATGGCTGAAACATTGCGCCAATGAATTATAGGATAGCCTTAGACAAGCCTTAGACTAGCATTATGCACCTAGTGCATAATGTGCATAAACAATTTTTATCACCGAAAAGAGGATTAAACAAAATACCATTCCCGCCTAGTCATCGACATCACACCATCAACACTGGCATGTGGTCACCAAGATGCCTAATTCTAACCAAAACGGTACTATAAAATGATGAACAAAATTATGAATACGATCCTCAAACTCATCTAGGGCAAAAATAGAGTTTTCTCTACTTATGCACCTTTGAATTTAAAAAATCCTTTTCTATTAGCATGGTATCCATTACTACTTACCTTCAAAATTTTATATTTTGACAAATACTATATACGTCTCCTATATGTTTATCCATGGCAGCATGGAACATTGTGAATTATTGTTATGTAACGTAATAAGCATTTTCATGTTAACCTGTAAATATTTATTTATTCAACACCGTAGTACTACTAAATCATATAACAAGGACGACTGTTTGAGGTTCGTTGAAAATCCTTCTGCTGAATTGACATAGCGTTCGCTCCTATGAGCATAACAATTTTTACTATTTAATTCTCTTCGTCTAGACTCCGTATTTTATCTCCCGAAATTAATGCCACACTGCGACAGTGAAAACAATACAATTTTTTTTTTTTACTATAATTGATTAGGAAAAAATCTATTCAAAGTTGTAAAAAATAAGGATTGACGAAGATGTAAGTAAGATACGAGGCAAGGACGTTCTTTGACCCGGTTGGTCAGACTGACGCCAATTTTTTGGTGAACCGGTATCGCGCCATTTTGGGAATTCAATTTAACTGTTTTTCCATACTTCAATTCGAATAATTTACAAACTCAACATACCGAAGGATTGGGAAATGAAGATTGGCACGGGATTAACGATTTTTTTTATAAGAAAGGTGTTAAGGGGTTATTCTAAAAGCGTTGATGGTGCTCACTGTGATAGATTGAACAAATGCTTCTAGTCTAACTGTTCAGTCTAAATAATTTTTGCATTTTTAATTTTTTATGAAGAAGCGCTAGAGTTGCGTGTAACAGAGTTGTTTGTAACATAAATGGTACGAAGTTTGAAATTTGCCAAATTCTTATTTTCCACTTTTCTAGACGTAAAAGTCACTGATGGTCATCGGTGTGTGGCCATTGCGTAATGCCCAGTACGAATGATGAACCTCCACTCTCCGATGAGTGGGCGGCAACGGCCTTCGACAAGGCCATCTCCGATGCCACAACTCCAATCAATGCTTTTTGTTTTCCTCTCTTTACGAATGAAATGAAAATAATGCGAATTCCATTCCCCCACTTATAGATCGAGGGCACGTTCTTTGCCAACTTCTACAAAGGACTGTGCAACTAGAATTATAGTTGCAGAAAATCACCTCAGCTATAATTATTGAAAATTTATAAACTATTCCCAGAGAATGAAAACTGACGATTTGGTTCAATGAAGGAAGTCCCGAATCGGATGTTTATATGATGATCGTGTTACGGCAGGGATATCACCAACCGAATAGCCTTCTTCCAAAGATATCTAATATCCCAGTGATTTTTTATTATTTTTATTGCAATAATAAATACTCCCGAAATATACATCTCTAGTGAAACAATAAAATAAATAATGAAATCGCGCAAAAAGTTTTTCATATTGTAATAAATAATGGTCTCTCATCCATTAAAATGCAAACAAACAGTATCCAACCATTGACTCACCTTTCCTGGATAATTCCATAAAGATGTGAGAAAACTGTTAAGTCATTAACCACCTCCATCGTAAATCGACTCTATCCTTAATGATATTCCACTTTACGAACGTCTGATTAAAGTTAGTAACCATGATCCGTTTCCACGGGCTGTTGCCCTCGCATCCATAGCTTCGTTTGTCGTCATGCTGAAGAGCCTCCGAGGCACATCACATCATCTATCTTATATCTATCTTATAGTGTATAAATTGCATGCATACTCCAAGTTGACAAAGAACAACTAAATCGCACCTCAAAAATCTACCTCACCGTTTGATTATGAAATCATTTGCTACACGCCAGGTACTATCTGGGAAACTTTAAAGTCAACAGTTTGATCCCATCATTGTATTCCGTAATTATTTTACATAGATATCTATTCTGATGGGAGCGTTACAGACTTCTGCATCCTTAAATAAAATAATATACGATTTTCTGTTTTCTTGCCCTTGGCCCTTTTCATGAATCTACACAAAGAAGGACGCGGTTTTTTAACTGCAGAATTATTCGGCCTCACAAAGCAGTCTTATTGCGACATTGTTGCTAGACGCCTGGTAAAAAATAATCGAAACATTTTTATCAAAGCCAGACATTAAGTATCGTCAAGACCTTGCTTCGTCATCAGGGCTATTTTCAATCATTTATATTTACTATAAATTTCATTTTCTGATTTATTAATATCAAAGAATCTTAACATTGCTATTAATTTATAAATAGGGACAGGAAAATGATCGTGCTGATAAGTTAGGGAAAAGTCTTTTCCATAAGTTATGGCGAATGACTAAGATAAGAAAGAAAATTAAAAAATCAAAATTTAAAAAAATCAGAAATCATTGGTTCGTTACTCATACCGAATCAACAAATTCACTGATTAACCATACGAAAAAAAAATCTTAAGGCCCTAATATAATTTGTTGGGAAATGTGGTCTACCAATTTCAGTCAAATGGTGAGAAGCAGTACGGAAAACAATCAGAACATGCCATTAAATTTTTTCTGCTCAACCTTACTCCTCCTACCCTTACTCCTCCTATGACATGGTTTCGAATGAATAGGATACAATTTGAATTCAATGCTTTCTTGCAGATAAGAGTACCACTTAAATCTAATTTCAACGTTCGGCCCAGAGATGTTTCTGTCACAATTGGGAAGAAACACTTCACTTGTGGTATCAAAGGCCAACCCCCGATAATTGATGGAAATTTTCCACATGAGGTCAAACTTGAGGAATCAACTTGGGTGATCGAGGATGGGAGGACACTCCTAATTAATTTAGAGAAGGTACAAAAAAATTAAGTAATTGGGGTCTCATACATAATTACATTATCTTTCACTTTCCCGACTAATGCTTAGTTCTTATATTGAAACCTTCATATAATAATAGCATATTCCCAGTGTATAGCAATATTATTATGTACACACAGGAAGAAATCATATATGTAATTAAGTTATTACATCCTCTCCGAGTTTCTATTATTTTTTCCTAATCTTTTCTGTTATGACTTTAATCAGATGGACTAAACGATAAAAAAATATCTATTGCAAAACTTGTACATTTGCCAATGCTGATAATTCTTCAGACAATTTATTCAAGGGCACAACCAACAAATATCTTCTAAGCTAGAGTCTATATTGTACCTTTCCCCACAAATTCCAATTTTTAATGTAGTTATTTTTTCTACAATAGGATGTTTTATGAATTTTTCTGTTTAATCATTGAAACAGGTAAACAAAATGCAATGGTGGGCTCACGTAGTGATCTCTGACCCTGAAATAAACACAAAGAAAGTGAATCCAGAGCCTAGCAAATTGTCTGACCTCGACGGTGAGACACGTGGACTCGTTGAGAAAATGATGTACGATCAGAGGCAAAAAGAACTGGGACTACCAACGTCTGACGAGCAAAAAAAGCAGGACGTCATAAAGAAGTAAGTCATTTTGTTATTCATAACGACTAGATCATTAACTTATGTACTATTGATTAATTTTCGTTAAATTTTTTTTGCAGATTCATGGAACAACATCCTGAGATGGATTTCTCGAAATGCAAATTTAATTAATCTCAAGAATTGAATTTAGAAATTAAGAAATTCGGAACACCTGTTGAAACAACGTAATTTCGAAAGATCACAACAGTTTTCATAGAGCTATAACGCATTTTCAATTATTTTGAAATCAAAAACTATACTCACATGAAGTTTTCCACGTACGATTTTTTAACAACTTTATTTTTGTTAATTTTTCAGCTACACCTGTTTTTGGTCAGGCAATTGAATACAGATAGTGATTTTGCAAATATTACATTCTCGGGAGAAAATTTTCCTCACGGATAAGTTTCGAAAAAACCGTTAAATTTTCGTATACGCTTGCAATGTTCTTTCACATTTATGTAATTGCTAATGTAACGAATATTTTGCTCTTGTCAAATGAATATCAAGCGAATAATGATACGATTCTAAATAAAAAAAAGCATTTCAGTCAGTAAAGCTATACCATGGTAAAAACTCGTCCAAATATCCGTAAACAATCTGGCAGTAAATTCAGGAATTGAATTCGACGAGAGAGAAATACGGCAATAAATTATTATTATTGTTATATTGTCCTCATCAATGCAGGAAATTAAATGGAAGAGAAAATCGAGAAAATGGAAAATTGTATTCTTTATCTTCCAATGTTCCATTTCACATTCTATTCTTTATCAATAAAATAAGATGAAATCCTGCGCAATGTGGCATGCATCGTCATTCCAGTGACATTGAGTATCGAAAATGATCACAGTGCTGATATTTTATTAACAAATCAAATTCATTTTTAGCAATTAACTATTTTGCAACTTATATAGGATGTTCTGCAGTGAAATAAAAAATTTCCATTAATTTATGAACTCATAAGTTAATCGTGCATATCTAATTCTTTTCCCATTGACATTAAATAGGTTTCTTATAATTAAGGAGGAAATATTGTGTAATGAACACTTAAAATTATTCGACGCAAAGAAAAACACTTATACGGGCGAAATTATATTATACGTGAATAAATCATTTTTTTACCATTATGTTTAAGACTATATGTACATTAAAAAATATTAGAATTAATGAAAAACAATACAATGGATGGGAGTGCGAAATTCTTTTTTTTTCTCATGTCGATGATATGTCCTATCGGTCCATGAGTTATCACGCAAAAGGCTGTTAAGGCAAATTACACGTATTTGTGTAATAAATATTTGGTAAGTCTGCATGGGGCTTTCCATGGCAAATCGGAGACCATTTAGCCTTTGCATCTTCGATTTTTTTTGGGATTTCCTTATGTCTAGTATCGGTTGAGAGAACCTCCATGATCTTTTTAACTCTCTTTATTGAACAGTTTTCGAGAGATCGAGTTTTGAAAACTTTCGAAATTTTTTTTCATGTCCATAACTTTGCGAAAAATTGATCAAATGGGATTTCTTTTTAAAAGCATTTGGTTTTTAAAGGCCCTTTTTAATGAAAAAAAAAATCAAAAAAATTATTAGAATCATATATCTATAACATTTTCTAATATTAAATTTAATTTATTGATTCATGAAGAACACGCACCGATCGGTTTTAGTAAAAAATTTGCAGAAAAAACTAATCCATAACTATACCCATACAATAACTTTCAAGACTAAGTCCTTAGTAGAATAGTAATGGGATCTATTTTTTTTCTATTTTTTAATTGCGATATTTCAGTTATTCGTCTTAAAAAATCCATATAAATTGTCATTTGATATTTATTGTCAGTTTTCACCCTTATATATGTTGTGTATTTATACACTCATCATATGTCGTGTTAAATTGAAAACAAATTTTTCGTATATCATTCATTTGTATATTAGTGTTTGTATGGTGATCAGATGTCACGGTGAATTCAAAATGAATCTTTCGTTTAGTGTTCATTTAATGATTAACATACACCTATTTTATTCCTCTCATAGCAATGGAAGCTGCTAATAACTATCGAAGGATGATTGATATTGAATCTTAAGACGACTAACTGAAATTGCCAAATCAAAAAATTGAAAAAAAATTGATCTCATTGTTATCCCACTACAAAATTGGTCTCAAAAGTTGTCGCATGGGTAACAGTTTTTTGTGAAAAATTTTACGAAAACTGATCAGTATGTTATTTTTTTAATTGACAATTTCAATTCAAAGTTAAAATCTTGTAGATACAGTTCAAATCATTTTCAAATACATTTTTTTTTTAAATGTCCGATTCGGCCCATTTCTCACGAATTTATGGCTATAAAAAATAAGCAGATGACGGAACCTAGTCGACGGGAAATATTTGGCCGTTACTTTGTTTACTAGTTAGCTTATTTTCTCTAATTTCAATGACATTTGAAAGCAAATATTTCCAGTAAAAGTGGGTAAAGTTTCCAGGTAAAGGAAACAGAAAAAGTTTAAAGGTTCCAGTAAAACGGGCATCTTGTCTGAATTTGAAATTGATATCTCCATTTTTGCGAGGGCTAAAAAGCGTATAACAATATTTTGGAAAAAACAGAAAAGTGGAAATATCCCTGAAACTTTGTCCCGACGGCTATATTCATTTCGATTGCTCTAAATGAAAGCCATCGGGACAAACATTTAGAAAAAAAAATAAAAGTTCAATCCGCCCTCTAGTTTTGCATATTTGCAAACAAACGTTCGCAAACAAAATGGCTTTTTCTCGGAGACTATTGAACCGATCAAGCGGATTCTGTAGCTAGGGCTAGTTCTAGTTAGGACCTCGGATGTGACAAAATTTCGAATTGAAAAAATTTTTCTGTCCTCTTGTTCTATTTTCTAAAATTCAATTTCCGAAAGTGTCGGAAGAGGAGGGGGCACATACATTATCGTCAAACTTGGCATTTTTACGTTTCAGACCATTCTACATCATTTCCAATGAAAATTAGAAAATGTCATAACTGAACGATTGCAAAAGCTACCATTCGGAAGTAAACAATCTCGAAATTTTTCCAAAATCGATATCTCGAAAACTGTTCCAGCAAAAAATTGAAGAATAAATCATGAAGACATCGTTCAACCGATGCTACAACATAAGAAAATTCCAAAGAAATCCGAAATGCAAAATCTAAATGGTATCTAATTTGACGTGGAATGTCCCTATTGAAACGTTCAAAATATTAATTTCCATTTGATAATTATTTTCAGAATTATCTAAAAATTAATCTCTTTTTTCACTTTGTAGAAAGGAATTTACAATATTTCGAACATAGATAAATTAGTCATTAGTTATACGCTTGCTGATTAATGAAAGCTCTCTTGGTCAGACAGTTAGAGAATTCAGTACAATATGACACATCTTGGTAGCCAAAAGTCAAGTGTAGAACAATATCACAATACTGAAACTCAAAATATAGTAAAAATATCGTAGTTCTTCTACTAAATTTTATGTAAATACTATTCAATTAGTCACAGTCCGGTGTCATTGACGAATTCACGTGATGAATTCCTTTTTACAGGATCTCTCTATGAAAACGATCGAACTCCGTCATCCTCTTTCATGATTTTTGCTATCCATTTTACATAATTGGATAACCTAGCGTAAATGCCATATTTTCCACGTTTTCCACAGCCTTCTCCAAAACTTGTTATGCCGAAAATAGTCCAGGGATGTTCGGGACGTTTGGGATCTTTACAAAGGAGTGGGCCACCGCTATCTCCTGCACAAGAGTCCATCCGTCCTTTTTGGTAACCGGCGCAGAACATATTGTCCGTTATCCGATAATCTACGTAGACGCCTTTGCACATTGCCGTTGATACGATTGGTATCTAGAAATAAAGTTTTTCTCTTTTCTTTTGGAAATCATAAATCGTTACTATTTAGGATTAAACTATTCTTTCGATCTTAATTTCCACAATGAAAAAATGAACTTGTAATTAGGAAAATTAATACTATATAATAAGTAAAATAAAAATCAAATATAGAATGAGTCGGGCGAGTCGAATCGGAGAGAATCTCTGATGATTCCCCACATCATTAAAATTCGAGCAATACTCATCACCTGAGTACTATTCTCCCGAACTTACTTTGGCTTCATGTAAAACATCAGTTCCAAAATCATCAGTGGCCCTAGATTTGCCCCATCCGATAATAGTACAAAGTTTATTTGTGGGTAGTGGTTGCCGCGGGGCTGGTAGACAAGCGATCCCTCGTGATACTGATGGACTCAGTGTCACCGGAAGTCTGAGGAGTGCCACGTCGTTGTCAACAGTGTCCGCATCGTATTCTGGATGAATTACAACGGAATTCACGCGGAATTCAAGTTCTGTTCCTTCTTTAACTGTAAGATCGTGCTCTCCAAAACGAACGTACAAGCGTTTCCTGATACAATGCGCTGCGGTTAGGACCCACCGGGGAGATACTAAAGTACCACCACAAAAGGCTTCCTTTATTACAAAAAAAATTAACTAAATTACTAATTAGTTAATTTGTAAATCACAATCTCAGTGGCCAATCTCAAGAAACTTGAATTCCACAAATATTCAGTATATTTTTCATAATGTACTATAGTGTGGCCATTTAAACTAGAAAGAAGAATTGTTAGATGCTTAAAGAAAAAAAAACATCAACATAATCTCGACTCACTCGAAATCTATTAAGAACAGCAACTTGCCAAGGCCAGCTTCCTGGTACCGTGGGATGTCCTCCAATGATCCTAGTGAAATATGAGAGTGTGGATATCTTGCCATTTTCAACGACTCCACACTTCCAAACATCATCATTCTTCGGTGCTGCTAGGCTTTCCACTGCATTTGGATTTAATTCAAACTCATCCAATGCGGTATCTAAAACGATGATTAGGATGAATTATCTTAAATACAATGAGATCTTTTAGCCATAGTTTCCCAAAGATGGCCCCCTTAAACCTGTCTATTAGCTGATAAAAAAAAAGTTTGTCCTTTATAGCTTGAGTTAATTCAATATTGGATGGGATGTTTTTGTGAGAATGAAATACCATCATTATCATCGTCATGGCTCCCCCTTATCCTCCTATGAATCCACTTCTGGCAGAAGCTTCCCTCAACATAACAATAGGCACTTTCTCTGATGACATCTCTACCACAAATGCCGGGCTTTCTGCACCACCTGTGTCGTTGAGTCGTACAGGAGCGTGTACACGGTGACCACTTGCTCCACTTGCCGTAGTGACTTGGAGGACGATTCTTTGACTCCTTCTCTCCACGTCTAGCCCCTTGCCTGGGCTCTGCTTCATTTGGCACTTGCACCACGTGAAATAACTCAGTGAGATGAGACCCTCTGTACTTTCGCTGCTTGCAGCATCCTCGCCTATTTTTTCTCTTGTAATAACATCTCTTCTCTTCCTATCAATCAATTTCAAAAATTTTTCAATTCAATAAATTTTCTAAAAGGTCCAATCAAAGAAATTTTTTACAAATCTTTTTGTCACTCATTCGCCAAAGTGATGAGGTGACAGACACCAATGTGAAAACATTCACATTAATTTAATGCGCTTCGATGATACCATATGACATAACAAAATATGACAATTTACTGAAGGTTTAGAGAAAAAATTTTGCTTACTTACTCGTATAATTGTTGTTCCACATTTTTTCTTGATTTTGCAGATTTTAACTCTGTTTTGTGAGCAATGTCGATCGCAAACTGACCATTCACTCCACTGAGTAAAATATGAAGACTCTGCATATGGGCAAAACCAAAAATTTTTATTATTATTAATGGATGAATGATTATCCACTAAAAATAGTAATTATCATTATTACTCTAATTAAATTACAATTGTGAAGACTGCACATTCTAATAAGTACTTGACAACATTCCTTTCTATCTCTTTAACTTAATTTCCTTCATTCTAAAGTTTTCATCAAATACTTTTAAATACTAATTGATACGAAATAAATTTACTGTGCATAGGTGAATGCCCGGTAGCCCAATGACTAGATTGTTTCCGTTGGTCTCTCTCTAAACTCCCAACACTTCGATTATCCCCCTGAAATAATAAAAAGACATGAGTCAGAATTGAATTTAGGTGTGAACTCTTAACAATTGTGCTGAAAGGCATACGTAGGAGTTTGATACTGATTGGTTAAAAGTTGATTTCAGGTTAGAGATAAAACGTTAATGGCTCAGAACTATTAAATTAATGACTATGGAGTGGCTGAGTACGTCATGAACTAAAAAGACCTGAGCTGAACGGGTCAGAATCTTGAGGAATTGGACTCGCCCTAGGACTGTATACTAATGACAATGGAAACCCACGTAATGGTCTAATCAAGCGTTACATCATTCACGCTAAAGAACACACTGAGACTAAATTATTCTCGTCTGAATTATCCTCTTGCATTATGCTGCAAAGTTAGCAGCCAAGGTAATTATGTAGGTTTTATTATGCAGGAGCAATAGTTATGTCTCAAGACTCCAAGATGTTGTTTTGCTTATTGAACTTCATCTCCACCTATAGACAGACACATTGATGTATCAACTACATCTTAACAAAATGTTATCATAGCACTATATTCAGATGATAAATTAGATGTTCAGAAATCTTCATAATTTTTCTTGTATAGTTGATTTTGCTAAAGTATCGACGAGAGCAACATTACGCTCATAATACCTCTGTACCTTAAAAGGTGGACTTTTTTTGTGCACCCCTTATTTTCTTTTGTTTTCTTATTATTATTTTCTGATTCGCGTTTGCCAAAAATGGTAAGCGATTTTTTACCTATCAATTTAAAATCGACAGATCCATCGGAGTTTGAACGGATGACGTGTCGTGATGTCGCGGGAAGGACTATAAGACAAAAGAATGAAAGTAAAAACGGATTCGAAGCATGAAGTGAGCATTGAGGATTTATATGGGCATCAACGAACAGCGTGTTTGCTGCATTTAATATTATTTTTTGAAGAGTAAAAGGGGGAAAAAATCGCCGGAGCTGCGATGGCTCCGAGATATAATGAGAATACTTCACCCACAATGATGGGGGAATTATCAATAGAACCGTGCAACTTATAATTACAGCAAAATAACAGTCAGTTCAAGATTAGACCAACAACCATGCAAATTTTCCAAACCTACATGAAATTGAGTATGAAACAGTCCCTTCTAAACAATTAAACCCTTTCTTGTATTTTCGAAAACTTCCGTTCAGTTACAAACTGAAAAAATAACAAACTTTCCTTTTACATATAAGAAAAAGAACAAGTATAATTTCTTGGCAAATTCAGGATTCCATGTACCAATGTGCACAATTTAAAGTGGAGACGGAATCATCAGAATGCACAGCGCTGCATCTAGAACTCTAAGAACTCACTATTCTGCCACTATTTCTACCTGGAATTTTAATGCAATTTTCCGGTGCGTTACATCCATTCAATTGTCGGACGTGAATGCACTCACCCTATCAACAACAGGGAACACCATCACTTCGATTCTTGAAGACGAACCAATAAGAATGTGAATTGTTTGAACAAAAAAAAAGTAATGAGAAAAAAAAATCAACATTATAAAACCAAGAGAAGTCGCAGAGAAACATATACTGGCCGTATATATAAACTATATAGTCGGCCAACGAAATTCTCGTACGTGACATTCTTTTCTCCCCCGAAACGAGTTTTTACGTTCTTCTGGGGGTATATACTTCCTGCCTGAAAACCAACTAAAATTCTCTCTCCATCTCTATTTTTCCACTACAATCACATGTACATCAAAACTAAATCTGCGTCAATTAATCATCAAGGAATCAATTTTCAATAAAACAATTCAATAATAATGTGGAGAATATCGCAAACAGATCCGTGGCTCTTACAAGAAAGAAATCAAAATTAGAATATAGAGAAGGCGAGCAGTTATAATTATGAAAAATCGTTCTTAGGTACATGGCTAATACTCACATGAATCTTACTGGTACAAAATAAAATGAAGATAAATCCAAGAACCAACAAGCTAGCGTTGCTCCTCAAGTAGATCATGTTGATTCACCAGGCTGGCGCTCCTTGACACTTGTCCCTTGACAAAGCACATCGACACACCGACTCATGTTCTGCCAGATCTGCGAGATCACCTGCTTCTGGCTTTTTTTAGCTGTTTTTGCTGTGAGTACTCCCGATATGATAGTCTTGTAACCGTCTTCAGCTTGTTATCTTACCAATCCTCGGGTTTGACTTCGAATGCCCTTTTATTTGTGTTTTTTCCTTGGTGTCTTTGCACCCGCAGTCTCTATCTATAAATACAAGCGCACGAGACCGCAAAGAATTTCAAGAACGAGAGAGAAAAAAGCGAGTGTCTGCAAGTTGGTGTGAGATTACTTCCACCCTATGTAGAGATGCTAGGTGTACTGAGAAGGCAGACTAACAGTTGGGCTCATATTTGGAATTATTATTGGCTCAGCAATAATTGGATCAAACATTTATAGAAAGGTTATTAACCTGTCAAAGCATTTTAAGCAGCTAAATGAAAATCAATGAATATTCAATTACTTTCTTTCCAATTGCATATAATGAATTTCTCCCCACCATCAACCCTTGCACCACAGTCGTTGAAGGCCGAAAGAAAACCTCGATTAAGGAAAAAACCTGTTCAGCTACGGTCGTCTCTTGCAAATTCCCACACGAACAATGAAACTGTGAAAATTAGAGCATTACAAAATTTCGACCCCCCATCGTGAGAGTTGAACCCACCATCATTACTTTGCTGCCCGTACTGGCACTTGCATCCTACCCATACAGTATACACCTACTATATCGTCCATCTTATTTATTCGTAGATGATAGAGCAATTGGTTAACAATCGCCTGTCAAAATAAATATATATATGCACGGGAAAAAAAAACAAATTTGAAAGATCAATTGTTTGCCAATAATAATGATTTTTTCTGAATCGCAGAATTATTATTGGCGTATCAGTAAAATTAATATATTCCGTTTATTAACAGATATCTCTGATAACCGCAAAAATTTCCGCACAAAGCTTGAAACGAATTTTTCATTTGTGAATGAAAATGAGGTATGATTTTAAACTAAAAATATATGTAATTTAGCTTACGTTACTTAACATGAAATCGAGAGAAAATTTTTATCGTTTAAATGTGAAAGATGAAATTTCTTGATTCAAAGATGATTTTTTATAAACAATTTAATCATGTGATATGTCCACTTTATTTATTGATTCAATCGACTTTCGATGCAATAGAATATAAGTCTTTCGAGAAAATCTATCTGCATTCATTCAATATTCATTAATTAACATCAACATTCAATCACCTTCAGATTCACATGTAAAGTCCGTGGGTCGATGTTTGAACTAGTTTCTCACTGTTTAGCAACAATTTTAATGTCACAACATTTTAGCGCTTGCTCTTAATTGGTGGAAGGGGTAAAGCGAATTATCCATGATTTTGTGTTTAATCACAAACACAGGAAAAACTATGAAGTGATGAAGATCACTGAATAATTGTAAAATAGAATTGCACGACTGGAGATTTTACCGAGAACTTCTCTTCAGTAAAATTCGGAGGCTCTGTTTGCTGGTTAAAAACTGTTGGAGGTGGAGATAGAGGTGGAGCGTGCAATGGAGACAGACAGATAATCTCAGGCAGGCAGAGGCGAATGTCGTCGCTCCGGGATCACGACTCTGGGGTCAGTCGGAATGGATACCTGAATCGAAATGTCCCAGGAAGACAGATGCCGGAAGGGAATCCTATGTGATTCATCCCACATTTCATTATGATTCTTTTCTTTTTCCCAAAAAATATTTTTCCAACAATATTTTTTTATCGTATTTAAAAGTAACAATTTCTATAATCATCGAACAATTAATCCAATTTCTTCATTGCTCACTCTGGAACTTTAGTTCGTTTGCAGAATTAGCGATTTCAATTCTTGGGCATTACTTCGACAAAATCTATTATCACAATTTATTTTCCAAGTTTCATTGAAACATTGTGCAGGTATAAAATGAACATAATAGTCACCATCGGTTTATGAAAACTTTGATTTTACTTGGCAGGACGGAGTTTGTCGTATTTCTAAAGTTTTCCAAATTACGAATTTATGTGTATTTTTTAGATAAATATCGATCTATCGATGTGACCGAGCCCGCACGTGGTCCTGGAACAACTGAAAGTTACGGAGGAACTATCAACGGTAGCTGAGGAGTGGTCCCCCGAGAAAACAAAAAGAAGAAGCAAGGACAGAAAATTGAAAGAGAGTCAGAGAGAAAAAGAGAAGGGTGAAGCGGAAGTCGAGGGTAGTAGTAGTAGTCGTAGTAGTTTGAGTTGGATAGTACATGGTGTGAAATATACTTCAACCCACACGACCAGAGTAAGTTTGATCATTTTGTATGAGTATGTGTGGTTTAGTTAGGTGGACGTATCTTTGAATCTCATTTGAAACTAACACCTACTTCACCGGAACTCGAGGGCACGATAGCCGTGATGTCGAATAATACATCTCATGTATCACTTCGTAGAAATAAAAGTTCCAAGTTTCCAGTGTCTATCATTTGAATTTCATATATTTCCAAGCAATTAATTGTTATTATAACAGTATTTTTTCTTGATTGTACAAAATGCAAGCTAATACAAGATTGAAACACAAATTTTTTGAACAACAATAAATCACTCATCTAATCTAACACTCCCTATTTTTTGGAAATATATTATTAATATTCTGTCATTTTTTTTCAAGCGGAAACCTTCCATCTGGCAGATTAATCATTTTTCTTCAAATTATCTTCCATTTTTCGCAAATTTTCAAGACACAGAGGCAAAAAATATTCAGATTCATCAATTAATTTCATTTTTGGATTTTTTTTTTGCATATCGGTGAAGGAATATTATCATTTTGCGTGACCAAATCTTGCCAACTTGATATACTAGGCAGAACGTGCGCGCCGGCTAGGCTGCGTGAAAATGATATTTGAATCATATTGTAAAATTCTTCAACACGGTGGGCGACAACAGCACATTAGTTGAGTCCAAAGGTCCCATAATCGATGCAAACTTCCAAATTTGGAGGGTGACATTACGTTCAAAAGGAAAACAATATTCAATAATCTCATGAAAATTCAACCGAATCATATCCAAAACATCACAATTTAAAGAATGGACGATCTGCTTTGGAATTTTATATGCGTATTTTTCTTATCTGAGGTGAAAAGACAGAAAAATCCAGCAAATGTTGAATTTTCAAGTAAAACACGAAATTACAATTTGTGCCTAAAAGTGTCATAACTTAATGAAAAATGATCAGGATAGACTAATTCAGATGTAAATCCAAAACTTATTTGATAGACTTGTGAATGAATATAGAATATATATTTATATTTCATTAAACAGCAAGAATGACAATGGCGTGAGAACCAAAGAAAAGACCAGCGTCACAGTCACGGATTGTTCTATATATAGTGGAGTATTCATTTCCATTTCCAAATTATTCATGGCAGATTACCCGAAATTATCAGAATTCTTCCTGTTTATGTTTTGACAAAAGGACATAAGAATAAACGGTAATAATCTGTTGAGAAACCCAGTAATTTCTCCAGTCTTTTCCATATGAGTTGATTCTGTACCCCAAAAGATGTTTTGTGTAGAAGGCAAGGAAGAGATGAACCAAATTCACGGAAACTGGTTTCATGCTTAAAGAAACGAATTTGTTTGTGTATTCAAATCATTTGTAGGGATGTCTCAAAGTTTGCATGATATTCGTGTTGTACTTGTTTTTAAACGAAAATCTTGGTAATCAACTTACTGTAGGCGAAAATTGAAATAGATCTACTCGAACGTTGAATAAAAAAACTGGTAGCTTGAGAGCCTTTTGAGGACTCTTTGAAATTTATATTCAGTTTATTCATCATACTATATTTTCCAGTATATTAGAGGTAATCCTTTCTGCCAAAGCCAATTGGATCAATTATTGGAAACAAAGAATAAAAATTCAACCGCCTAGAATTATTATTAAAAAAATGCTTGTAATTTTTCATTTTCTCACGCGACAAAGATACACGATGGCAGATATGTCGTACTCACCCTCTACACAGGGCCCTCAAAGAATTGTCCTTTTAAGTCCTAGAGAGAAGTTTCACATGCCCTGACATAAATCAACCTCCATTTTTTCTGAAAGGAGTTCGAGAATCCCGAGACGAGCAGGCAAAGAGAAAAAAAAGACGTCAGGTAGACACGCAGAGAATGAGATGGGGTGGAAGAGGAAACCGATGGAATAAGGTAGAAAGGCCAGTTAGAATCGAAGATGCTCTCTGACTCCCCGGCTACTTATGCTAATTTACCAGCAAATCAATTTATTTGTATTTATTTATAGCATTAAAATGTTGCCCCCCACTTTCTTTTCATAGAGATACAGAAGGTAAGACCACCCAAGAGTGGTCAATAAGTAGTTTAATGTCACATCGTTTGTTTTCAAATATATTTTGCATTAAAATAGCTCAGTGAATTTTCACAGAAAAACTCGAAAACTGATTCACTTCCATTGATAGACTTTATTTTTTATCGATATGTAAATAATGTATTTGTTATGAACTTTTGAAAACAGGTGAAACAGTGACTCAGAACGTTACAGTTGACAATGGAACAAATTGAAGAAGGTATAGGTGATGAGAAGGGGCCATTTACTGATCAACAATACCTGCAAGTCATATAGTGCTCCATGATAACGTGCGAGCGCGCATGTTTCTTGTGGGGCTTATTAGAACATAATTTTATGTTTTGCGCTAGGAATTCATTTCCTCAAGTGATATATTCAGTCAATTCGATCTCTTCGAATTTCCTATCCATGCCGACGCCTTGAAGGATAGTCATTTCGAAACTTTGCACAACTTATAAAAATATGTCAACTACTCCATTACGTGCAAAATCTGGAAGGGCGATGGTCTCAAGAATCATTGAAAATACTTCGGTTAGGCATAAACATTGATATGTTAATGTCAATCTAGACAGTAAATATGTTCGTAATAACTATCATAAGCGTAAATCAATCAAATCGTTTCACGGATTTTCACGATTGTTGTAATTTTTGGGCACAGATATTCCATTCTTGTACAGAAGCTACTAGACAAAGATTTATGACATATAACGGATAAAACAGTTCCAGTAAAAAAGCTAGTTAACAATTGGTTCTTTATCACGTTCGAGAACGGTTCAATGCAAAACATGTGTTGAAATTTGGAGAAGGACTGTGTCCTCTGATGTCATGAACTTTAACTTTAATTCTCGTGTTTGGAATAAAAAATTTCTCATTGTGATGGCAGTTTGTCCCTGGACAACTCTCCTCCATCTGGTAAAGACGTGAATTCCTTGTGCTTATAAAAAATGCCTTATAAAGTGTTACACTGCTTCCCAAATTTTATTCATTTATATAGATTTATATTATATAGATATTTAGAATGTGGACATTGTACTACCACTACATAAAGTAAAACTTTTCTACACTCTTGCCACAAATTTTTTTAAGTTTTTCCTATGCCTACCAAAGTTCAATTTGGGGAGTGATTTTCGGACATATATGGTTTCTACAGGCAAAAATAAAAAATTATAAAGATTATTTCTCAACTGCCTTAGCTATCTTTGTACACGGAGAGAAAAATACTCGAAAAATTACGGAACTTTTACATAATCGTGGGCTTACTTTTCGGGAAAAAAGTACTGAGTTCCATAATGATTGTCCTAGTGAGCAGGAATTTTTACGAAACTTTCAGGACAATTTTTACGATACCTCCAGTACTTTTATCTCCATGCATAATGCATAAAATCTTACAAACTCCACCTTTATGTAAAAGTTCGGTAATTTTTAGAATATTTTTCTCTCCATGCATGTATAATTCATACAACAATTATACATGGATGTATGAATACTGCTCATAACTATTTTTCGAAATTTCAGTTATCACATTATTTACAATACATTCCTCATTTTCGTATCTCTTAACATGAAAATTTATCTTCAAAAAACTATACTTACTGTAATATAAAGTGTACGACATTCTGGAATGCAAACTGATTCAACGTGCAGTCCCACATGTTCTTTACGAAGTTCTTTAGACAGTATTCAATTTGTAATACGATAAAATTTTAGATTAGTGTTTAAGAACGAAAATTTTCGCTACATCCGTTGTAATGTACCTCACGCAATCTTTAATTACAAAATGGTGCAATCTTCACTGAACTTGAATAAAGGTATAAATGGCCTGATTACACTCAGTTACTCAGGAAATTATACCCACGTGGTAGGTGTATCCATCTCGTTATGTGAGAGTCTGTCTCGCGTCAGATTTTAAGCGACAGCTAACGTATAGGTACAAAAAAACTAACTGTCGTCACCGTGAGCCCTGACTTGCAACTGGCTTGAGCATCAAGTCTCAGCGACGAGATAAGACCCATCCCTCTTTGTCTTTTCAATAATTCTTTTGCTCTTCGAGTGTTCTCTTTCCGCGAAGTACATCGCGAGTGGAGCGAAGTCGCCAGGAGGAACGATAAAGCGCATCATGGACCCTTAAGACTACCTCTTCACCTACGCTCCAGTGAGTGAGACGTCATGCCTCAAAAAAGATCAGCTGTGATCTCTGATCGACAACTTCCGGCTTTGTTCATATCTTTGTCATTAATCAAATAAAGCCTTAACGATACTTTTGAATTAATCTCGTCTAGTGATTAAAGGAGTGAGAATTGCCCTGGGATGTAGATGGAGTGCAGTAGTAATAATGATGACCTAGTTTCCTATTCGAGGGACCAATTTTCGCGTGACGTCCTAAACCTTCCAATTTAGATTTGGAAGTGATTGTGTGATCTAAGCCGACTGTAACCGAGGAAAATATTACGAATCAATTATCTTCACAGAATGATTGATTCTAAAATTAAAAAAATATTTTTATTCAACAAATTGTTTCCCTTTTCCCGTAACAGACGCTTTGTACACTAATTCACAATGAATAATAGGGAGGAGAACTAAGGATACATTTTTAAAAAATTGTCGATTTTACTTCAGCCTCTCTGAATTTTCATACATGGACCTTGCGTTGATAAGGCAGAGATGCAATATTCTTCCTTGCTCATGCTCCTCATGTCGCTCCTTATGCCCCTCATGGCCATCATGCCTCATGCAGCGTTTTATCTAATTCCGTACATAACCTCATCTCTGATATTGAAAACATCGTGCTGGATGCAATACTCATTATAACAGATTGACGATTCCAATTTCTAATTCTATACTCATTTCTGCGATACCACCTGAATTAAATGGAAGGTAAAGACATCTCAAACATAATTAAGGAGGGCCAAGCGGAAATTCTGGTACTGGAGAAAAACGTATTCTACAATCCTGTACAGGAGTTCAACAGAGATCTCAGGTGCATTTACATATTGTAGTTATTTATTTAACATAAAATCAAGTCGATGTTTGAGAAGATTATTATTTCAATAGCGTCGCAGTTTTAAGTCTGTATTCGAAGGAAAAACATGAAATTCCAAACACCCCCAAAGAAGAAACGCTGATAGATCTCCCTGCTGAAACAGGATTGAAACATGAGGTAAATCATTTTATTAAACTTCTGTTTCGTACAGCTATTTCATACTTACAAATCCATGTAAAAAAAATCCGGAAAGTGTTCAATTAGTTAAACAGCTATGAAAATTCCAACATTTTAAAACCTACTGAATTACGTGTTGAGAAGAAAATGAAATCAACAAGTCCTTTTTTTATTGATATCTCTCCATACAGATCTGTATACCTTGTCTTCTTACACTTTCGTCGCTATTCATTCCATTTTTGTACAATCTTTAAGCATCAAACCTTCCCTCAGAATGGAATCACAATTTTAGAAGCTCTTTCGGCCACCGGTCTTCGCAGTATTAGATATGCTAAGGAAGTACCATACATTCGTCAAATAATAGCAAACGATATATCTGCAAAAGCAGTCGAGAGCATAAAAAAAAATATCGATCACAACAAAGTTGAAGACCTGATAACACCAAGCCATGAAGATGCCACAATGGTCATGTACCAGCATCGAAAGAAACGATTTGATGCAGTGGACCTGGATCCTTATGGTTGCCCATCGATATTCCTCGATGGAGCTGTCCAGTGTCTTGCCAATGGAGGCCTGCTGCTGGTCACAGCAACTGACATGGCAGTTTTAGCTGGAAATTCGCCAGAGACGTGTTTTGTTAAATATGGAGCAGTTTCTCTAAAATCTAAAGCTTGCCATGAAATTGTAAGTTAAAATTATCTCTATTAATAATAATGAATAATTATTTTAAGTTCCCTTCCAGTTTTTACATAGAATTTTGCAATTTTTAGGCCTTGAGAATTCTTTTACAACACATAGCAGCTCATGCAGGACGTTATGGACGTTACATTGTACCATTACTCTCTGTGAGCGTAGACTTTTACATTCGAGTATTCGTTCGAATTTATACTGGGCAAATAAAGTGTAAGGAGAATACTAGCAATTTAGGAATGATTTATCAGTGTACTGGTTGCGAGACAATGACAATTCATCCCCTGGGAATGAAGAAATTGAACGCCGGATGTAAATTACCCGTGGGACCACCAGTTGATCAATTGTGCAAATTCTGCCGATATAAGCATCATGTAAGTATAATCGAAGTGGTAATGCTTGAATAAAAAAGGTGCGTGAAAAATAAAACATGTGAACAAAATAAAATAATGGAAAAATTAATTTTTAAAGCTTCATAAATTCGTCGGTTTTCAGATGGGCGGGCCCATCTGGTTGGGACCTCTACATGATCAAGCATTCGTAAAACAATTATTAGATAGTATAGAGACACTCGAACTTGCAACATCGAAACGTTTGATTGGAGTTCTCAGTGTCATTGGAGAGGAATTGGATACTCCCCTATATTATGTTCTCGATCGATTGGTAAAGAGAATTATAATCACTCAATGCATCTGTTTTTTTGTCGACAGCAATGCCAAATATGCAAATTGGGCAACAATATTTCTGACAGCTGTTCGCCAAACTCTGCGTCTTATAATTATTAATTTCATCTAATTATGTATATATCTATATGCCCTCCTTGTTTAGATGTCCATAGTAAGATGTGATACACCATCAATGGTAAAATTCAGATCAGGGTTACTAAATGCAGGTTACAATGTCTCCTTTTCTCATGCCAATAAATTATCGATAAAGACAAATGCACCGGCTGAAATAGTTTGGAACGTAGTCAAGGCATGGGAAAAAATGCATCCCGCAAAGCGAGAAAAGTTGGGAAAGGAAAGTCCAGCATTAGCAATTTTAACCGCTCAACCCACAATTGAAATTTCTTTCGACTTACATCCTGCAGCAAATCCTGAATCCAGAAAACTGCACATGCAAAGGTTTCAAGTTAACCCTACTGCTAATTGGGGTCCAGGTGCTAGATCCACAACTATGTAAGTTTCTAATTAGCTTTGGATTTTCAATTGCATTGCATTTTTAACATGTTTATTGAATTTTTCAGAGTCGACCCTCGTGAAAAAACATCGAAACGTCAAAGAAATCAGAATAAACATAAGAAAAAACACCAACATATATCGCCATCTGATTCTCCACCCCCAAAGCAACAAAAATCAAATGTATGACTTTCTATTACACATGGATATATATTTGTACAATATGAGATAAAAGAACCTAATGCTTGACTGATTTGACACAAACCCTTTGACCTACCTTCTCTCCTCTTAAGCCGCTTACTCTTCTTCGCATTATTTATCAATAAGACGCAACATTGTGAATAGCACAAGTGCCGCACAAAATGCTATAATGCATAGCGTAATACTTGCATACATCTTTTTAAGGATAAAATTTCTCTCCCGACTATTACTCATTATACCAGAAACAAAATGCACTTTCACTCGAAATCAATTAAAAAATGGTTGTGAAGGAGGGTCAGCACTAACAGCTATTTCTATATTTCTTTGTTAATTTATTTCTGATAACTAGGGCATTATACGGAACGATATTAGCTATGCACGCCGAAATAAGTGTATCTCCGATACAAAACAAAGAACTCGTCATTTTTCCTGAAATTCAACTGATTTTATAGTAATGCAAAGGCCAAAAATTCTGAAATTTTAGAATGGTTACTGTTTCTTGAAAAGAAAGCGCATTTATTTCGAATGTCAATTCATCATTATGGCAATATATTCAATTTATTTTTTAAATCTCTACTAAAAATGAATCAAGCCGCATTGTTATAAAACAAATGCGTCAATTGCCACCCCCTTGATCCCCTCACCGTCCATAGAGAGGAAAAATAAAAAAATCTTAACGTGCACGATATCGGAAGTATTCATCAGTCCTCCCAACAAGATTAAGAAGCCCCATCAGGCCTAACTACTCTTAAGTCCTCTCTATAAGATCGTCACTGACGTCGCACACTCCAGTCTTACCTCTGCCGTCAATATCACCACATTCAACCTCTCCAGCTGCCGAAAAATCGGAAAATTCCAATATTTCAATCGTCAAAATGGTTGTAAACTTCAAAGTTTTCAAGAAATGTTCCCCAAATGGAAAACTCTCTCTGTACCTTGGTAAACGCGAATTCGTTGATTACTTGTCAGGTACAGAGGCGATCGATGGAATTCTACGAGTGGACCAAGATTACATTGACTCTGGTCGAAAGATTTTCGGCCAGTTGATCTGCAGTTTTCGTTATGGACGGGAAGAGGACGAAGTGATGGGGCTGAATTTTCAGAAAGACCTCTGCCTGGTGTCAGAGCAGATCTACCCTCCTCAAAAAACCGACAGTAACGCAACTCGTCTGCAAGAACGGCTGCTAAAAAAATTAGGCTCCAGCGCTGTTCCATTCACTTTCAATTTTCCCCAATCTTCCCCAGCAAGTGTCACTCTTCAGCAAGGAAAGGAGGAAAGCGGTAATCCCTGTGGCGTTAGCTACTACATCAAGATCTTCTGTGGTGAAAATGACAGTGATTTGACCCACAAAAGGAGCACCATTTGCTTGGGCGTGAGGAAAATTCAATTTGCACCAACTAAAGAGGGAAGGCAACCTTGCACTGTGGTCAGAAAAGACTTCCTACTGAGTCCTGGTGAACTAGAGCTTGAGGTGACACTTGATAAACAAATTTATAACCATGGAGAACCCATCGCCGTTAACATTTGTGTCAGAAATAACAGTAATAAAATGGTTAAAAAAATAAAAGCTCTTGTGCAACAAGGAATAGACGTAGTTATCTTCCAGAATGGACAGTTCAGGACAGTCATCGATGCTGTTGAAACGCAAGATGGTTGTCCCATCAGTCCTGGATCAACGTTGCAAAAGGTAGTGTACCTCAGACCTGATCTAGAGTGTAATAGAGAAAGGCGGGGCATTGCGTTGGATGGCAGATTGAAGAGAGAAGATGATCAGCTCGCTTCAAGTACCTTGTTAACTACTCCTGACGTCAAAGATTCCTTTGGAATTGTTGTTTCTTACGCTGTAAAGGTCAAACTATATCTTGGAGCACTTGGGGGAGAACTCACTGCCGAGCTACCATTCATCCTCATGAGACCTAAACCCTCGGAAAAAATTAAACTGGTGCCATCTGAGAGTGTCATGATCGAAGATGTGCCAGAGGAAAAGAACAAGGAATAGTGCAAGTTGAGGGAAATTCGGAGTGAGTGTTTATTTAGAAGATAAGTGGTAAGATGGTAGTGAAACAGATTTGAATATTTTGGCGCGATATGGGTTTTTCCGAAGAAGGAATGTCAGACTTGGCATTTTCACTTCTTCATGCAATTCATAATTGCAGAAATAATTGAAAGATTAACTAGTAATACGTCGACGCCTCTTACCACTTTTCTACTAACGTTTTCATTCACCCGAAGGGGTTAAAAATCATTCGATTTTCTTGTAAATTCTTATTTAGATTTGTTTAGTTTGAAAATGCATGAGATAACTAAATATTCTCATGCGTTTTATAACTTTTTTTCGTTATAATACTTTCGTTTTTTTTTTAATATGTTCAGAGATTTAAAAATACTAAAATGTTGGAAATTTTATTCGACCAAAAATAAAGTTGTGTTTGTAGATGCTCCTATTGCGTTATTTCTACTAGATACTGTCTAATTTTCCAATTTTTTTGTTTATTTAAGAAAAGAGTTTCGTTCAGAATGATTTAAGCATAAATATCAAATTTTACCCGGCTGACTTGGCGACGAATGCTGGTGGAGAAACGAGCGTAATAAAGTCGAACATGTCGTAGAAAATTGTCTGATTCGAAAAGGTCAACCGGAGTATAATATACGAAATACAAAAACGCAAAATACCCAACTATCCCTATTTCATATATATATATATATATATATATAAATATATGAAAATAATAATTAGCTACTGAATATACTACTGAGAGGGTACGGCATACTTCTGACTTGATTTGAAATTCGCCTCACTCATCCAAAAATCTACGATACTATAATAAATTATTATTGATAATACAATTATTTGCTTATTGTTTTGCTTAAGTATTACGAACTTATTATCTAAGCACGCATCTGTTATAATTAATACTGCTACATGTTCACTACTATCAAACTGTCTATAATCAATATGATCATTGTTATGAATATTTGTTGTCATAATATTATGTAAACTACAGAATTTAACTGCTTTAGAAAATATTCTCAATAAAAATCGTAGGATTTACAACTTGAAGGATAATTTTGATGTGGCGAGTGATGTTTGAACATGACCATTATATATTTGGTATTTCAGGTGAGTTGAAGATTACTACGCATGTGCGGGCGGACAGCCAAAAGAAAGAAAGGACTGTTATGAGCTGATGCCAGGAAACTTACGAATTTGCAAATTCCAGAGACGAGTGTATCTGGGGGATTTCAGAGGAATTGCGAACATTTAGTTTAAGATGTTTCAGATTTTCGTCATCTATAAAACCGTTAAGTGCTCTTATATTGTCAAAATTTCAATGAGACAATTTTTTATTTTATGTATGATGATCACGTCTCCAATGCATTTTAATTGAATATAGGACGTGTCCTGATTACTAATAAACCTTACACCCAGTAATACATTGGAGTCCTCTGGAGTACCCTGGAGGGCAAAAGTCAACAAAAAAAAACTTAATCATTATTAAACTAGAGTTCGACTAATGTAGGTTCGACTAATTATGGGAGCACATTACGTATGGGTGGTGGTAAATATAGGCGCGTTATTGATAATCTCACTAGATGAAACAATCCCAATATCCATCACTCTCCCATTTTATGAGCATCATTCCTACAATCTTCTACGTACTCTCAAAACAATAAACAGAGCTGCAACAATTCGCTTCTTCCGATAACTGCGGAGTGCAAAAATAATCCTGCATGAAATCTTCTTATCGACCTGAAAAACGAAGACTTTCAGTTTCACTCCACGCAACCTCGAAAGTAATAGTAATAGTAATGCATTTCATGGCAAAGTCTGAACATTATCTTTCATGTTGTTGCGGTCTGGAAAACGAAAATGAGGTTTTTCAGACTCCGCGACAAAAAAATCAATTTCCCCGCCACCTCTCCCCCAACACAGTCACAGTTAATTGTTCAAAACACAAGTAGTTCTCCCAGAAATTCTTATAGTTTGAATATATATTATTACAGTTTGCAATGTAGTTGTTTATTTTTGAAATGACAAGTTGGGTCACCTCAGCTTTTATTAAAATTTACAAGGGTTATTTACAGCTTTTCTTCGATTCCTCAGGGTTTCTGAGGATTTAAATTTCTGTGATTCCTCAGGTTTACCTGTATTTTTTGAAAATGTTTTCAAAAAATTATTGGAACTTGGTACTTCAACTGATTTTTCGAGGCGATAATTTTTTTTCTATCTACAATTTCCTGACGTAGGTTGATTTCGACTCATGTGGTAATGAAAAAGAAGTATTTATGAAGAGATTTACCAGAATTTGAGCCACACATCCGAGTGAAATGAAGGTAAAATGATGATTGGACTATACTGGGTGTTCTCGGCGTGCGCACTGATTATCCAGGCAAACGGCGTCGACGCCCCACCGCTTCCATTTCTCTGACATGTGTGTTTCCATGCAGTTGCGTGGTTTTTCGCCTTTACACCCGATACGTGACCCCATCCCAACAACCGGCGAGTCTTGCGAGTCTTGCCCGTCTTGCCCGTCTTGCCGGTGTGCTACAGGCCACAGTCACTCCCGAGGCACACGTTACGACGGACATCGCTGTCTCTATCCGTATCTACTTAAAATAAAACCTCACCAAGTGTGTGTTTTTGTTTTGTGGGAGAAGCCCACCAACACAACACAACCCGACCCAACCCAACCCAACTCAACTCAACTTAGAACCCCAATTAAGTGTTGGTTCAAAAATTCAGGTAATTTTTATTCCGTGAACTGCCACTTTTCTTTCAGTAAGAGACCGAATCAAAGAAAAAAGGATAGAGGGAGGTGAGGGAGTAGAGACGAAGTAGAGGCGAAGTAGAGGCGAAGTAGAGGCGAAGTAGTTGTACCGCCCCCGCGTGTCTGTGTCGAGCGAAATTTACTGAAGAGTGCGAGCCAGTGCGAGTCTCAGTCCCTCAGTCCCCTGAGTCCCTCCTGAGTCCCTCCTGAGTTCCTCAGTATTACGCAGGGTGGTTTGCCGAGCGTGTCGCTTCTCTCTCGTCCCCATACCTACTCCTTCCATTTACTCATTCACAAGGAATTTTTTCATAAATTAAACAGAAGGATTTGCTCGTTGAATTTTCCCATTGGTTTCAATTTCCATTTAGAAGTGTTTTTTGTGTGAATTCGAGGAGATCATTGATTTTTGGTGAAGAGGGTGAGTAGGATTTATCTCTTCATTTTATTGTGCGGGGGAGGGATTGAAGGGGTATGAAGTTTTGGCCAACCCACGCTTTGCCATCCAGACGTCGGGCATCGATCTTGGCGCGCTGGGAGACGGTGGGAGAGATTCGCACACGAGGCGATGGTGTCCTTTGAGCGATGAGGATATTGAAAACGAGGGGAAAAGAAAAAACATCAGGAGATTTTGAGAGGAAATGTTCGAGGGCAAAATGCCTACATACTGTTCACTAAAAAAATTCACTGAAAAAAATTATGACTACAAGATAAATTATACATTTCCGATTTATATACGACTATTATCAACTAATTCGATTGTCACAGGTACCAGTAGGTCGACATAAATCGATGAGTTTTTTTTTAATATTTTTGGCAAGGTAATAACCTCCAAATAATTACATTAAATCATTATAGTTTTTTACCTCACCATACCATTTTTACCCATTTTCCTTTATTCATTCGCACATGGGAGTGGAGGACATAAAATTCCTCTCAATTTTATTTTGTGTGAGGAGTGGAACCTTCATGAAGAAAAAACGATATATAGTAAAATAGATATCCATTATTGGCACTTATATTTTTGTGAAAACTGTAATATATGGCATATATGGTGAATATGATCAATACATATTCCGCATATATATTTCATTTTATGCCGGGCTTGGAACTCTACACATTTCGTACGGATAACTAGCACTTTCGATACGCAAAACCAAGCGGAAAAGTGAATTAAATTAAATTACATTAAATTAAATTTGTGATAGTGTTCGGTAAATAAAATTTTTCGATACATGTAAATTTTTTATTTATTACTACGAGGTTCCCTACATGGAGAGAAAAATACCGGAAAAATTACAGAACTTTCACGTATTCGTGGGGTGACCTTGGTTTTCGGGGAAAAATACTGTAAGTTCCGTAAAAATTTTCGTAGCGAGCAGGAATTTTTACGAAACTTTTCGGGTATTTTTCTCTCCGTGTAATACATTGATTTTTAAAAATGCATTCCAAAGATTATGGATTCTTCCTGTGAATAATGTGCATCATTTAGGGGAATAGATAGTATCAGTACTTGTCTATGCTATGGCAATTACCAATTAAGATAATTAGTTGAGTAGGCGATGGAAATGCTCATCGAAAAAATTGAAAACGAATTTCCAGATTCACTCTTGTCAACAGTGTAGGGATAGTCTGTAGATGTAATTCAGTTCATTGAAAGACTTCTTAGGAGAAACGCCAAAACCTTGAAAAAGGTTCTGCAGATGTTGTGATACTGAGATAATGCTGCAGTACAGGGATTCATTGAAAATTTGTATTAAAAACTGTGAATACATTTGCGTTTTCTTCAAATTATGTGAGGGAGGTAGAGACATTGTCTTTAAAGGAGGATGATGGTAGTAAAGTCACAAGTTAGAAAGTCAATTCTTGATATTTGGTTTTCACTGGAAAGGTAAAGGGAACCGCGTTAAAATGGAATATTTACTGTCAAATAGTAGCAGTCACATAGATTCGAGAATCACCAATCGGTTTTCTTTTATTATCGAATTGAAAACACAAATTTGAATTAATTTAAATTAATGAGGTACAATAACGGAAACTACGATATCAAAAATGTTAATTCCCACGATGTTCTCCCGTCTTTTACACATTCTCAAAATCGTTACTTAGGTGTTCCTGTTATTTGTGACCTCAATTTACTGTTCTCAAATTTTTTTTTTATTTTTAGACTTTCATTGTCTATATCTGAATTCCTCATGAAAATAAAAAAAGTATTGTCTCTGAAATTTAGGCTCTGATAAATTAGAATCATCTGAATTGTGAAGATTTACTATTCTCCAAGGAAGTGTTGCCTTTATCGTTGTATTAACGATTTCAAACGGATTATTTTAACAGTTTGAGATCGTAAATGACACTGAGACAAACCTGAATTACGATTTCAATACCGTATAAGGCCAGCAAAATCTTCGTAATTTACGTTTTTGAAATCATAATTCATATTTCGGAAATTACAATTTATGTTATGACGACCCAAATTTACAATCTGAAGAAAGCAATTTATTGGATCTCTTTTTTCATGAATGCAGGCAATTGGATACGGATTTTGTTATCCATTAGATTTTTTAAAGCTTGCAATAAAGTTAAAGATGCAAACAATTTGCAACTTTATCAAAATTTCGACAAAATCTACCTACAATCTTATAACAGTGGTCTCCATAATAATGGTTGTTCAGGGAGAAATAATAAAAACAGTTGTCCCATTTTGCTTGTCACGCGAGTAATAATACATTTTCAATCTTTGGAATTTAAACGACAACATGTACTTATTTCGTTGGGGGATCCTTGCTGTTTAAATAAAGGAAAAGGGGAAATGGACATTTTACAACACTTGCCAAGAATTAAATACCACAGCAATGGTGTGGAACGCGTTCGCACAACTAAATAAAACGGGAACTCGCTTAGAATCCCGGAGTGGATCCGGGTATGCATTAACGGGGGGAAAAATTCTAATTTCAGAATAGATGTGCGGATTTACCGATTTACCCGGCTGTTTATGTCGGTATCTTGTTAACTTGTAATATAATGCGAGTATTTATATTTGCGGGAGTTGTTGGAGAAAATTACGCTACAGAAAGCTACAGTAAAAAAATTATCCAGTTAGGGAAAAAATGTTTGATTAATGGTGAATAAACATGAGAACATCGAGACAGAGAAAGTCGACTTGTGGAGGTTTTTATAATATTTTTAGAAAATCAAAAGAAATTTTGAGGACATACCAAGCAAGTCTCACTAATTTATTTGTCGCTCCATTTTTAATCTTCTTAAGCTGATCACTGCGAGGCGAAACATCTACTAACAAAATATACTCCATCATAATTCATAATGAATGAAAATTCAGTCAGAAAATTTTGATATTAATATATTTTTTTAGAAATTTTGTCCTGCATGTTTCCAATGCTCGAATTAATATTACATTAATTAATAGCTATGGCACCGCTTAAAACTCGTGAATTTTTTGAGTAGTGAGAACTAGTGGTGCTTCAAGCATCACCGATGCCTTTAATTTTTTAAGTCCACATGAGAACAACTATTTTTTCAGAAAAAAAATATCTATAGTTTTCGCAGGCAACCTTAATAAAAGATTCTCAGTTTTCTTCTTGCAATTGTAGTGCTTAACAACAACAAAAATCTGTATTGGTATGAAAATTCTTCCTGATTAAAACAGTTGATTTCCCAGCAATTATATACCCTTAACAATGTAATTCTCTTCCATTATCTTGGAAAAAACGGCACCTCGAAACTTAATTTTCCATTCAATTCCAATCAAACTTGGAAATGCTTCTGAGAACGACCGTAAATCCCGAATTATTAAATCAATTATTAATCCACTGACAAAACAATTCATTATTTTTTAATGTCACCATACCATGTCTTCGTTTACCAATGTGATCATCATACTCGATTGCCTATCCCCTTCTTGGTTCTTAACGATAAACGACCGATGCCTACAATAATAATTTTAAGAGCAAAGAAATTGTAGATTTCATGTATGAGAAAATGACAAAAACTATGCGAGTAATAGTTTTCCTCTGTGCAGCTCATCTGAAATAAGAAGGAATTGGTTATGTTTTGAAAATTCTATTGCTCGAATCAAATTATTTCCAGACGCGCCTGATTAGGTTTCAATTACGATACCAATTTGGATTCCTTTAATGATTATTCATTGTTGCTAAAGTTCTCCTTATCACCAGAGAAATATTTCGATTAATTTGTCAATACCAATAGTTATTGTGGAAGTAGATTCAAAGTGATGATTAACATGATAATTGTTTAGAGTAAATAAAAGTATTCGGTATATTGGTATAGAGAATTCGGTATTTCATAACTCAACACCTCTCTCTAATTAATTCATATTTTGCAAAAATATTTTCTGCTCCCAGGGTAGAAATCTATCCCAGTTACGGAACAAAATATTTACATCTGATTAGATGTTCATCTGATGTAGGTAACTGACTTTCATACAGTTGTCAATATAATGAAATGCAGTCATTAGAGTCGCAGGAGACGAGAAATGAGCATTTGTTATGGTTGATTATTTCTCAGTGAAATCATAGGTTCGGGAAAAAGCACGGAGGGTGAATCAGTAAGTTCCCGGTTTTTCACCAGTGATTAGATAAGATAACGATTGCGGGAAAAGCCACAGACATGTGATGGTAGTCACCGAAGAGATTACAAAAGGAAAACTTTCCATACTTTTTAGTTTATTTGTGTTGTCCCAACATTGTGTATAGTATTTTAATTAAATTGCTGTATTCGATTAGTTCCTTTGATTGTCCATGGATTTTTGTACTTTTCTTTCAACTGTTTGTTCGAAGAGAATGTGATAACGATCTTGGTGGTGATATAAGTGTTGGTCAACTTCCGTAGATACATTTGTCATGTCGGTAATTTATGCCAAGTGGTTTTCCCATTTTCTTATCAAAAATAAATCAGCTTTCTCAGTTTTTTTAATAAATTTTGGGTCTGCGTTGGAAAGGTT